TCTAATAATAAAAATAAAATTATTTAAGCTCTTAATTATGAATCTATACTTCTTTTTTTGAACTGAAGTTAAAATTATAAATCTATACTTCAATTGCTACACTCCCTATAAAAAAATATTATCACGTGAATTGTTTGGACCACAAATTTTTGGTTGGCAGTGGAACGCGGACAACATAGGATAAGACTTCAAGAATTGTTCGGATGGTCAACATGGTTTAACACCTTACAGAGTTGATCTGAGTTAATGCATGCATTCAGGGTGAAAACGCCGATCTGTTATGAACTACATGATTGATTTCTTTAACCGTTCGAGATAGCCTGCAAGCTTGAATGTGCTTCTGTTGTAAGGGAGAAATGCATCTGTCAAACAGCATAAATAAAGTCAGTGAGTTTGTATGTTTAGGATAGGTGTGAATATGATTACTCATTAAATGATTAAGACTATCCATATTTTGATATTTTTTTAAATAATAAGTTATGATATTTAAAAATATCGATATATAGATGATTTTAACTTAAATTATAAAATATTAATTATTTGATGGAAAGAAAAAAACCTTTTCTCATCAAATAATTTTTATTTATGATCTAAACTGTAAAAAAATACGTCAAATAATAAATATTAATTATTTTATTAATTATCCAGTAACAATTGCTTAAATTGCCAAACAAAATAAAATTAGTGTTTTAAGTAACAAAATATATGAAATTATGTGACCCCATTCCAACTAATTACAGATATTCAAACTTCTGCAATTTTTTTTGACAAGGAGCTGAAATTATTATGGCAACTCTTCACTTGAACCATGCACATGTTACCCAATTTAATTACTATCTATTTGAGGATCCAAAGCTTGCTGATAAGAGTAATTACTACAAAAAGTAGAGTAATTTTTCGTGATTACCACTCGTGACAATATAAACTGGCAGATAGTATTGCAGCCTACATTTCTGCTCGGTCCCAGTCAATTGATCTGTCTTCAAAACCATATTCCGAGTTGTGGAGCCTGTTCCGAGCCAGTCTGCTCATCACAGCAAGGCCTGAAAGGGGAGAGATGGAAATTGTTGTAAATCAGATAAAAAAACAAACACTATATAGGCATCCCTTGTGTCGGATGGCGGGGCCATTATTGGTGGATATGATGAAACTAAATCAATTTTCTTCACATACCTTCAACCATTTTGTAAAGTGCTGACCACCATCCGTCTTTAGAAATCTGGTGTTGATCCAGGGACTCCTCAATGGCTTT